CAGGTGAATAAATTTATCCCTTGACTCTACTTGACCCAATGTTTTTATAAAGCTCATTTATCTTTACCGCACAATTGGTATTTTAACACTGCAACAAGACCTCATTTTTCAGCTAAAAAAGCCAGAAGATCATCTGCTGAAGCGTTTTACAAAACAATCTCAAACACAGTAGAGACCACCCTGTCTCAGCCTGCCATGTAAATCAGAGCTACCAGATCCAAAGGCTTTCCTTGGAGTACCATTGAAGCTCATTCATGTTGACCTAAATCAAGCCCAAACACTATAAGCAGCAGACGCATGGTGTGGGACTGAAACCCAAACTTGTCAGGCTCTTGGACTACCTGACAGTCAGAGGTGAGCAATCGTGCCAAAAAAGGCCCTTCAGCGCTCAGGCTTTCCTAGAAAAGCTTTCAACCTCCCCAGAAAGCAAGCTCCAAATATACGAGCAAAAGAACATAAATAAAGTATTTTCTTCCTCAGATCTTCAGTGAACATTCCAAAAATTATACAAAAGAACAAACTCATGTTTTGGTGGCCAAGAACACTTCTGAAAGGGTTCAAACGAAAAGAAGCAACATTAATTGTAAAACAGTCAAGACAATATGATCCCACCAGAACAGTACAACATCTATTTTTATTTTTGACTTGGAGACAACGTGAAATGGGATTCCAAGCCTGTTTGAATTGCATGGATGGAGTTTTTAGGATACACAATTATTTAAAAAATAGACTACACTGGATTTTATCTACTTGGATACAACTAACATTTAACTGTTCAACATTTTAAAAGAAGCAAGTTAAGATAAAAAAGGACAATTTGTCAGTCTTCAAAGTTGATTTTTCTATTCAATCTTTCCAGCATTAACTAGTATTTTACATAGAACATGTTTATTTAACAAACTTAATAAATAAAACCAATGCTGTTGCTATATGTGAATAATAATTTTTGCTGCACCAGAAAAATATCACTAAAGTGCAGTCAGTTTCTTTTAATGTTCAAGATGTTTTAGCCCAAACTAATGGTTTTGTGCCACACTCAAAAAGTTTTTGTTTTTTTTGCTCGTTCAAACTAAAATGAATGCAAACAAGTTAAATGAATCAATTTGTGTTGGGACAACATGAATGAATTGTGTGGAACCCTGCATTTTTTACAGTGCAACGTGTTGTCACTGGGGAAACCAGCTGACAGTGCACATCCGATGTTTTGTACAGAATATATAACCTTTTTGTGTCCATTTACTCTATATAATTAATATACAATCAGTATCTGCCTTTTTCATATTATTGCTAATAGTGAGCTTTAAAGTAATCCAATACTGGCCAATAAATATCAGTGGCCCACACATTGGTGTACCCCTGATTAAAAGAATAGTAAAGTAGTCAGAATGCTACTTTAAAAGCAAATCATTTGTGGTCAAACTGCATTTTTTCTTGTGTGATACTTGAATATATCACATAAATTTAAAATCAATAAGGCATTTCTGCCTCCCTAACTTGATTTATCGCCTATTTGTAACTCAATTCTAAATGGTTTCATCCCATATTACACAGCAAATTCATCTGAGTTAAATTCTCGGTGTTGAAGCATTTCAGAGTAAAGTGTTGACGTTAAAGAGTTAGATTTTCATAAATGAATATAATAAGAGTTAAAATTGATTTTATTCAGTGCGAAATCAAGGAGTTATCTTTTCAACACTTGGTGGTGTTATTTCCAACATCCGGGAATTCATGCAGCCCCAGTCACTGAAGAATTTTCCAGACGCCATTTTCCATCTGAGGTTTAGAACAGCAACTGGTGAGTCAAACTACCTAAATGTTGGTATTTTACTGACTTTCTTTAAGGAAATACAGTTGTAAACATATTGTTAAGTTAATAACTTTAGAATGGAGTGACAATTTTAAACTTCTGCGGTTCATTCATGGTCGTTTGTGTATCTAGCTTAACTGCATTACTATTCACTTCTTTTCAAGAATGTTTTTATATGCTCACGCATACATAGTGCATAAAAACATCAAATGTACACGTTTCTGTCACGCTTAATGCCATTTTGTGCGTTGTTACCTATCTGTAAAATAAAATCGACACTTCTCCTTTAATTCGAAGCAAACTAGCGAGGGAATCCCCGGAGCAGCCTAGCCTACTCTGCCCGGATGCTAACGGCAACAGGACGGTTTCCATACGCTCTGGAGAGTTTCTAAAACATATCTGGTGAGTAAATGAACATATGCTTACTTGTAAAAGGCTTCCCGACTAAAACATATGATTTTTTTGTTATTCGTGTACGTTAATTTAGTTATTTTAAACACCGCGGCCTTTTTAAACTGGTTCATTCGTGGCCGTCCATATACCGTTAGTCCATAGACTCGCGTGATAACGTACGCTTGAATTATATTAAGTGTTGACAGCCATTAAAGTCGGAATGTTAACATTAATGTCTTTAATTGACCGCGTTTGCACTTTCTCAGACATTTAAGGTTACAGAAGTCTCCCGGAAGTTGCGGGACTAACGTTAACCTTATCCCGCAAATGCACAGAGACTCCCAGATGCCCAAGTAGATGCCCGCAAATTAATGATAATCTCCCGGAAATCGCGCGTCTCCCGCCCGGTCATTAAACACTTTGCACACCCCTCTCCACCGCATTTCTCCCAGCTCTTCAGGTACGTCGCGCGCAACTCATCCCATTGCTCTTCAGGCTCTCATCTCTCCCGCTACCTCCCGCAAATCAACTCTGTATCCCCCGAAAATTACTTTTCCCAACTCGGGATGTCTGACGTTAGTAAGTTAGGCTATTTATGTAGTCAGGAACATCTTAGTCAAGCTTTTTCTCCCGCATGATATTGTGCTTAAAACTATAGGCTAAACTTAGCATGCACTGTACACAACATTTCCTTTTTATTAAAGACAATTTAGTGCGTTGTAAACAGCCACCTGTCTGTAAAATTAATCAACTGATTCATATTTGAGCAGCCTAATGATGATACAGGTTTGATTTGTAGATTTATTATCAATAATCAACATCTGAATCAAAAGATATCTGAAAAGTGTGAAGCATACTTTGTGATGTTCATCTCTCTTTTTTATCTGAAGGTTATGCATATGTGTTTGATACTAATGTTTTGTTGTTTTTTTAACAGCCACAGTTCTCTATACAATAACACAAGACCCTGTGACGATGGCTGATTAGAGACGGATGGTACATTTCCAGAGTTGGTGAAATGACCAAGCACACCTTCTTGGTCATATGTGGTAATAATAATAATTAAGGTATGTTTGATAAATTTCTGTATTTGTTTCACATAAGCTGAGAGGGTATTAGAGCATTAGAGAATAACAAATGACATGAAGGTGATAAGTTTTGTATTGTGGGTGAACTGTTACTTAAATAATGTTTTGCTCTTTACTTTGCACTTTTCCTCTTCTGCTTATCCTAATATTTTAGGTTATATTTGGACCTGAAACATCTGCTAGACTCCAGTAAAGGTGGCGTCAATACTGGACCTGAAAGGGCCTAACAAGTTGAATCAGGTAAAGAAACATGCACGCGCGCACACACGCACGCACACGCTTACAGAAAAGTGTTGTTTATGAAGTTTATGAATATTTTTTACACTGTGGCCAATATTTTGGGGAAGTCAGCATCACTAAATGATATAAAAGATTTTAAGCTCCTCTAAATTTTGCTCCAAGTGTTGTGTTAAATTCAGGATTCTGGACAGACAGCTGCCTGTTTTTCCAGTTCTAGTCATAGTGGTTAACCTAATTGTTTTTGGAGATCCAACAGTGATGTATGTGTTTTTTCTACTTTTCCATATCCTGTCACCTCAACCAGCTGGGAGAGTCAAGTTGTGGATCATCATGAAGATTTTCAAAAGGTGAGTTTAGATTTCTTGAATGTTTTATTTACTTTAAATGTTCTTTTAAATATATCATAGAATTTGATTGCAATTTGTTTTCAAACATTTTTCTTAGTCATGCTGGAGTCTTGAAGAGTTCTTAGATGAGCATCACCCTACAGTATATCCGTGCATCAGGAACCACCAGACGAGCGATCAGCAGCTGCTACATCGTCATGGATAAAAAGGTCACCCTGTGGCTGGGAAGCACTTCATTCACAGGACATGCTTGATGAAATTTCCTAGCTCCAGTTTGTTTTCACACAAGTTTACAGCATTTATACCTTCATTTAAACTGCTGTGTTTGATATGGAGGACCAAGGAAACACCCGAAGTGAAAGATTTGCACACCAAGTTGTTTAAAATGTAATTTTACAAGAAAACTATGAGTTCAGAAGAAAACTATGAGTGACGCTATATTGAACTTTCAAATTGCTCTGATAACACATCAAGTTTGGACCAAAGGACTGAAACAGCCTTTTTGAGCACTGGTCATACATATTTTGTTGATACTGTCTGTACTAATAAAGCATTTAAAGCATATTTGACATTGTTGCATTTTAAAAACTGAATGAATTGTTGAAGTGGTGAATGTTTTCAAATAAAATGTTTTTTCTTTTGTAATTTACAGTCTATTTTACCTTTTTACCATATTTACACTCAAGAGAGTTGAATAAAATAACAATATATTGTAGTAAAAAAATTACTACCAGGCAGTGTTAAATATAGTTACATTTTTAACTCTGCCCAGAGTTAAAATTAACCCTTACTTCGGTGTCAATGTGCCAACCCTTTTGAAAGTGTTGATTTAAGTCTGTTTTGAGTGGACCCCATGAGACACTTTCAAAGTGTTGAAATTAACACCCATAGAGTTGTTTTGGGTCACCATATTTTGCTGTGTACACAGTTGCTCATGGATTTATAACACATGGTCCTTCTCGCACAATCTTTAAACAACAATTATTGTATTATAGCAGACATTAATGTAGCATGCTATATTTCTGTGTCATTACAGCTGTTTTCACAGATCTGTGTGAATGGTAATGGTTTTGACAACACTGGCGTTTGTGCTGTGCTGGCATGGTGAAGGGGAAATCTGGGCACCTGGTATCATTTCCTGCAGTCGGATTATGGGACATCTGTAAGTCGCTCTGAAGGGTATCCAAGGGGTTTGGAGGACTTTGGCAGAAAGTGGCCCATCCATCTCTGTCCTTTTCCTCCTCCTCCATCTTCTCCTGGTCTGAGTGGCTCTGCTCTTGAGGTTGGGGTTGGACAGAAGGATGGAGGGTGTCTTTGGGAAGGGGGGATCTAATCTGAGGGTCACTGAGTTGTGGATTAAGAAAAATTGGGTCTTTGGGGGGAGACTCGTTTTGAGGAGACGCTCTGGAGTATTTAGAGTCAGGATCTATTTGCTGTGAATCTACACAGTGAACATCACGTCCTGTTACCACAGCGGACAACTCTAACGAAAGGGTTTCACTCTCACTAAATCACACAACAACAGTGACGCACCCACAAAAACAACATACATGAGCAGGACGACGGCACACAACCGTGTCAAACCAGAAACATGCGATGAAAGGAAAGTGACAGGAAAGGGAAATGGAAAGGAAAGTGTTATACAACAGAAAGGAGGGACAAAAAGAAAAAAAAAACACACACAAAACAATTACATCATGTCTTTACCATCTGTCCACTATATACAAATTTAAAGCAACACTCAACCATTTTTAAATAAGCTAATTTTTACAACACTCCTAGTTTAGTTGAGTGATACTATTTTTTTAAATCCATTCAGCCAATTTTTATGTCTGGCAGGGCACTTTAGCTTAGCTTAGTATAAATCATTGAATCAGATTAGACCATTAGCATCTCGCTCAAAAATTTAAAGCATGACTTTTCTGTAGTTACATTGTGCACATAGACTGATAGAAAATACTAGGAACCATACTCTTATTTAGGTGTAATAATCAAGAAAATTTGCTGCTGTACCATATTGATATTACACAGCGGCTGAAAATAGTCCCCAGCGAGGTAACTTCTAATGTGATGACCTGCACAGGGAGCATGTGCCGGTAGTGTTAAGCTAAAAGTGCTCCCGCCAGACCCAAGAGTCAGCTAGATGAATAAAAACAAACAGTTTAACTCTAGGGAAACTGTAAAATGACCCTATATTACAAAAAAGCGGAGTGTTCCTTAGTCTTTATACACTGCTTTTTTATTATTTTTATTTTATTGAGCTTTTCTCAACATTAAAACGAGACATCTAAACATCTGAATATCACATTAAAGCAATATTATACTCTGCTAACCATTTTATTCTATAGTATTCTATTTTACAATGTCATTGACCTATTTATGTAACCATTAGTGGAGAGTTTCACTTTTATTTGGGATTCTTGGGTCTTTTTTTACATTTATTAAATGTTAGATTTGCTTTATGAGATCTTGATCTCTGACAAGTTTTGAGGTTAAATATTTTAACAAAGTGACTTTCACTGGCATTTGTGTGGTTTTCTCTGGGTTGGTCATGTACATTATGGTACAAAAACCAAGTAATGAGCTGCCAGTACTTTTTTCTGGTATTTTATGGTTTTACTTCCATATATTTAATTTTGTAAGATCATTAGAAATGACTTTGCTAAGCTGTATAATTTTCTTTCCAAAAAATCAAAACTAGATCAAAAATCAAAACTGAGTGTTACATGCACATATCTTGGAATAACTGTAAATTTAGCATGCAAACAATTTAAACAGACTCTAATGCCAATCCTCTAAAGTGCGTTAATAGTATTATTATTATTATTATATTAAAGGTGCAGTAGGTGATTGTCTTCAGAAACATTTTTTTGTTGTGCTGGTTAAAAGTCTCTTCACATTCCAATAGTAATGATTAAACTAAATGATCTAAATGTATTTATATGTATTTTTATATTCTGGATGAGGTATAAAACTAAAAAATGTTCATCCAATTAAATATTGTCGGGCTGACAAATAACTCAATTACAACAAGTATCTCAAATTATCTGTCAACAAATTTCAATTTGAATTTCTGAGACGCCTCTTTAAGCAGACAGGTACGTCACTTGCGTGCATACGTGAAGCACGCATCTACTGGTGACAGGGAGACATCATCTGCAAACTCTGCATCATGCTGAACCTCTTTCTGAAAGACCAACGTGGCCTTGTATGCATGAAAAGAAAGATTGTTTCTGAAAGGACTTCTGCCAAAAATGCAGAATCAAAACTTTTCTGAACCCTGAATCAATATCGAAATTACTTTTGCATGCTAAAAGGAAATGACATTATGCAGTTCAAAACAACAATATGAAGGATGACACCACAGCTGAAGTATTACATTTAGACAGGTATGTTTTAAAACTGTTTTAGCCACGCAAAGCTTATGTAGACTGTGCTCTTGTTTATGAATGGGTTTATATGCACGGTAGTGTTGTTCAGCCACTGAAAACGTCCAGCAAAAGATTTGTTATTTTCAAGTTCATGGAGTACCTTTCACAGCATCAATAATATAGTCAGTTAAACAGACCTGAGCATTCGTTTAGTTGTTCAAGTGAAAAAGAAGATGAAAACAAGAGATGTGCGAGGATCGGCGAGCACAATTGAAAATGAAAAGTCACTTGTTGTCTTGGTAACGTAAACATAAGTGTAATGTAAACAGATGACAAGATATTTCTGTTTATAGCACAGCTTTTTTCTGATCTAATTTTTATTCAGTTTAATAACAAAACATAAGTAAATGTGCTTTTCCGCCTAACCAGCTCTACTGGGGTGAAGTTTGATTTATATTCACAATATTTGTTCATTTTTGAACAGTGACAGCCTGTGACACAATTTTGGTGTCCTGCACCCGCTGGCCTGTCAACAACTACGCTTGATAAAGTGCGTGTCTCCAGAGAGTTTTCTAACTGGTGAATGACATGATCTAGTGTTATAGCTAATCAGTGCACATTCGCAAATTCATGACTTAAGGAGGCGTGGCTTTGGACGGCAGGGAGGGGTGGTGGGGGGGGGAGGGGGTGTCATGAAATTTCTAAGCTATTATGCTAATGCTAGCATTCTGGCTGTTGACCTACTACACCTTTAATTTCTTTCTTACATTTATTTGTACAGTAATTGTCTAAATTTAGACATTTTGTTCCGTTTTACGAGAAATGTTGAAATGTGCAAACATTTTATAATCAATAATTCAAGTATTAACTAGATCTAACCTTAAACAAATTTCTAAGCTATTATGCTAATGCTAGCATTCTGGCTGATCACCTACTACACCTTTAATTTCTTTCTCACATTTATTTGTACAGTAATTGTCTAAATTTAGACATTTTGTTCCGTTTTACAAGAAATGTTGAATTGTGCAAACATTTTATAATCAATAATTCAAGTATTAACTAGATCTAACCTTAAACAAATTTCTAAGCTATTATGCTAATGCTAGCATTCTGGCTGATCACCTACTACACCTTTAATTTCTTTCTTATATTTATTTGTACAGTAATTGTCTAAATTTAGACATTTTGTTCCGTTTTACGAGAAATGTTGAATTGTGCAAACATTTTATAATCAATAATTCAAGTATTAACTAGATCTAACCTTAAACAAATATACAAAAACATAATGTAGAAAGACTTTACATAAACCATTTTTGACCATTAAATGCTGATCAGCAATACTCATTATACTGTAACTATGACCAAAATTGTAATGTTTGCTAATAATTATTTTTCATTCAGATTAGTCTAAACCATATTTTTAATCATGACAGTCTGATCAAATCATACCTGAAAGAGGTGTTTAAATGCACAGTTGGTGTTTTAAGTCTTAATTAACAATGACTGTGTGTCATTCATCACCACGAGGGAAAAAAACACAGGTCATTGCATTGTGAAATCTCACACGTTAATATCTGTGATTCACTGTGGGCTTGACAAATACAGTAATTCACGTGGATATTTTTAGCATGCAGAATGATCACATACTGCTTTGAGTATGTGATCTACATACTACAGAAACAGTAGTATGTTAGTACACAATATCAAACAAAATAAAGCAACGTACAAAAAACACAATTACACAGAACACATTTACAGGAGATCAGTAATGATTCATCAGCATTCTTTTCTAATTATATTCAAAATATGCAGCATCTTAGCATGCTTTGGACTGATACCCTGTCTGTGCTCATACTGTCAGTCTAATGGCTGTTCTGGATCAGCACAGAAGTCTGTAGCTCTCAGTCAATGAATGCTCACATCTGGTTCAAATCAAGCACTGCTCTCAAACCACTGCATACAAAATCAATGCAGAACAGAAAAAAACTGCTTTCCCTTCCTTATGTTGCCACAGATTTTGCCAGCAACCTATAAAAAAAGTTGAAGACACGTGGGGATTTTAGCTGCTTCTTCGTGCTGTAAAAGTATGATTGTGAAGTTTAGCAAACTCCACAAAACAAGTGTGTGAGCTTCAGGAGAGAAGACAGACCATCTCGAAACACTTACCATAACTATCTTGGCAGCTAAAATGGGGGAAATCTTGTTCGTTTTTGCTCATTTTATGATTATTATTTTTTTATTTACAAAAACCCAGAAGGTTGACACTTCAGTGCAGTTTTCAGCTTTAAATAAGAGGTCAAATACAACATTTCAATGAAATACAATGATTTCAAATATAAATGATGAGCTGATCTGTTAGCCAAATAAACATAATAACAAAAGTGCAAAACCCAGATGAGGGCTTTTCTCAGAACTCTTATTTGATTCTAAATAAATGCCTGATCTTTGACCTACTCACATAATAGTACATACTAGCAGTTATTTCCCTTTACTCTTTACAGATGTTAACTGGAAATGCCTCTAATCTGAGAGCCCTAGCAGAATATTTATTTCAGTAGCAAATCATCGTAACCACTATACACTCTCAGAAATAAAGGTGCAAGAGCTGTCACTAGGGTGGTATCTTTTCGAATGGTACATATTTGTACTCAAAGGGTATATATTAGTACCTCAAAGGTATATATTACTATCTAAAAATTTCAATAGGTACACGTTTGTACTTTTTAAAGGTACTAATATGTACTCTTGAGGTATTAATAAGGACTCTTTCAGTACAAATATGAACCTTTCAAAAAGTTACCACCCTAGTGACAGCTCTTGTACCTTTATTTCTAAGACTGTACTGTATATAAAACAAAAACCCTGCTTGATGGTCAACCAGTCACTGTATCTACATACAAACCAGCATCTCAGTTAGATTTACCTGAAAGGTCTCTCTCCCCCAACAGGTGAGGTTGCGTTACTCCAGCTTTTGCGGCTTTCGTCTCTGTCGGCACGCGGGCGTCGCACTGGTGGGGGCACATAGGAACCCTGGTTGGCTTTGTTGGGCAGGTACTGATTGAAAGGAACAGCGGTCCGTGGCTCACTGCAGGATGTTCGCCGCACCAACATGTCATCCTTGCGTACATCCGGTATCTTCCTCTGGGGGGTGTCGCACTCCGAGTCGCTGCCGCGGCCTGCAGATGGACAAACCGTATAAAATGATTAGCAATGTGGTCTAGTTTTACAATTTCATTCCGTTTTGTTTCTGGTATGTTGAGGAGAAACAGAAGTTAAGATTGTATTGCAAGTTAGGAGGAGAAGCACTTTATCAGCATCTAGACCAGCAGCCTGTAAGTGCATTTAAGATTTGTTTCAGTTGTTGTGTATGGTTTGAGGACTTGTTTCCAGCTGTTTGTGTAAAGTTGTAGGACATTTAAACTTGCTTTCAGTTGTGTATAATACTAGAAGTTGTTTAGCCACTGTTTCCTTGGTTACTATAAGAGCTTGTGTAGCGAACGCAGACGCGGTTTCGCGTCATCCGCCTCAGTTTCGGCCCTTGTTTTGACTCGGGAGGCGTTTCCAAACGCCAGGTAACCACTATATAGTGAGCACACTAGCATTAGTCGGCAGGAGAAGCACTTTATCAGCATCTAGACCAGCAGCCTGTAAGTACATTAAAGATTTGTTTCAGTTGTTGTGTATGGTTTGAGGACTTGTTTCCAGCTGTTTGTGTAAAGTTGTAGGACATTTAAACTTGCTTTCAGTTGTGTATAATACTAGAAGTTGTTTAGCCACTGTTTCCTTGGTTACTATAAGAGCTTGTGTAGCGAACGCAGACGCGGTTTCTCGTCGTCCGCCTCAGTTTCGGCCCTTGTTTTGACTCGGGAGGCGTGTCCAAACGCCAGGTAACCACTATATAGTGAGCACACTAGCATTAGTCGGCAGGAGAAGCACTTTATCAGCATCTAGACCAGCAGCCTGTAAGTGCATTTAAGATTTGTTTCAGTTGTTGTGTATGGTTTGAGGACTTGTTTCCAGCTGTTTGTGTAAAGTTGTAGGACATTTAAACTTGCTTTCAGTTGTGTATAATACTAGAAGTTGTTTAGCCACTGTTTCCTTGGTTACTATAAGAGCTTGTGTAGCGAACGCAGACGCGGTTTCGCATCGTCCGCCTCAGTTTTGGCCCTTGTTTTGACTCGGGAGGCGTGTCCAAACGCCAGGTAACCACTATATAGTGAGCACACTAGCATTAGTTGGCAGGAGAAGCACTTTATCAGCATCTAGACCAGCAGCCTGTAAGTGCATTTAAGATTTGTTTCAGTTGTTGTGTATGGTTTGAGGACTTGTTTCCAGCTGTTTGTGTAAAGTTGTAGGACATTTAAACTTGCTTTCAGTTGTGTATAATACTAGAAGTTGTTTAGCCACTGTTTCCTTGGTTACTATAAGAGCTTGTGTAGCGAACGCAGACGCGGTTTCGCGTCGTCCGCCTCAGTTTCGGCCCTTGTTTTGACTCGGGAGGCGTGTCCAAACGCCAGGTAACCACTATATAGTGAGCACACTAGCATTAGTCGGCAGGAGAAGCACTTTATCAGCATCTAGACCAGCAGCCTGTAAGTACATTTAAGATTTGTTTCAGTTGTTGTGTATGGTTTGAGGACTTGTTTCCAGCTGTTTGTGTAAAGTTGTAGGACATTTAAACTTGCTTTCAGTTGTGTATAATACTAGAAGTTGTTTAGCCACTGTTTCCTTGGTTACTATAAGAGCTTGTGTAGCGAACGCAGACGCGGTTTCGCGTCGTCCGCCTCAGTTTCGGCCCTTGTTTTGACTCTCGAGGCGTGTCCAGCTGAATTCAATCAGCTAGTGCTTTGGGGTTATATAAACAACTAGTTCACCGTGGCAGCGGTCGCGGCAGCCTCGTGTGAAGACCGCCTCGTGTGAAGACCGACGAGGGTAAAGACCATCAACTCTACCTGCGCGACTCCACCGAGCAAAGACACCGACAAAGCACTTGAGTACTTTACTTTATTGTTTTTACTTTGCACTTATTTTTTGTTGTCAGTGCACTTTTATTATGTGTTTTCTAATTCCTGTTGTTACTAACACTCGCAAAACACGGGAGGTACGCTGCAGGCGTAATCCTCACAACCTTCGTTCAATACATGTATCTACTATTTCACAACTCTCTCTCTCCGTGGGCCTCTGGAATTGTCAATCAGCTGTTAACAAGGCTGATTTTATTACCTCCATAGCTACATATTCTGATTATAATCTCATGGCTCTAACTGAGACCTGGTTGAGGCCGGAGGACACTGCTACACATGCTACTCTTTCTGCTAATTTCTCTTTTTCCCACACTCCTCGTCAGACAGGGAGAGGGGGTGGGACTGGACTACTAATTTCCAAAGAATGGAAATTTACTCTGATACCGTCCCTGCCAACAATCAGCTCCTTTGAATTCCATGCAGTCACCATTATCCACCCCTTCTACATAAATGTGGTTGTCATCTACCGCCCACCAGGTAAATTAGGTCACTTCCTAGATGAACTGGATGTTCTTCTCTCATCTTTTTCTAATTTTGCCACTCCCTTATTGGTGCTAGGTGACTTCAACATTTACGTTGACAAACCGCAAGCTGCAGACTTTCAGACTTTGCTTGCCTCTTTTGACCTAAAAAGAGCACCTACTTCTGCTACCCACAAATCAGGTAATCAGCTAGACCTTATTTACACACGACACTGCTTCACTGATCAAACAATAGTAACTCCACTACAAATATCTGATCATTTCCTTCTGTCTCTCAACATCCACATTACTCCTGAGCCGCCACACACTCCTACACTGGTTACCTTTCGCAGAAACCTACGATCTCTCTCACCCAATAGACTATCCACCATTGTTTCAGACTCTCTTCCTCCATCTCGCAAACTCACTGCACTTGATTCGAACAGTGCCACTAATACACTCTGCTCCACACTAGCATCATGTCTAGACCGATTATGTCCTCTTGCATCCAGGCCAGCCCGTGCCAGTCCTCCTGCACCCTGGCTCTCGGATGCTCTCCGTGAGCATCGCTCAAAACTTCGGGCTGCGGAGAGAATTTGGCGGAAAACTAAAAATCCTGCACATCTCTTAACATACCAAACTCTTCTGTCCTCTTTCTCAGCTGAGGTTACTTCTGCAAAGCAGACGTATTACCGTCTGAAAATCAACAATGCCACTAATCCTCGCCTACTTTTTAAAACATTTTCCTCCCTCCTCTATCCTCCTCCTCCACCCGCATCCTCCACACTTACTACTGATGACTTTGCTACATTCTTCTGCACCAAAACTGCAAAAATCAGTGCTCAATTTGCTGCACCTACAACAAACACGCAAGATACAACACCAACACCACACACACTCACCTCTTTTTCTCAGCTCTCTGAGTCTGAGGTGTCCAAACTTGTGCTATCTAGCCATGCAACCACCTGTCCACTCGATCCCATTCCCTCTCATCTCTTGCAAGCCATCTCTCCTGCAGTCATACCAACACTGACTCACATAATTAACACATCTCTTGACTCTGGTTTATTCCCCACTACATTTAAGCAGGCTAGGGTAACCCCACTGCTAAAGAAACCCAACCTGGACCATACGCTACTTGAAAACTACAGACCAGTATCCCTGCTTCCATTCATGGCCAAGATTCTGGAGAAAGTAGTGTTCAATCAAGTCCTGGACTTTCTTACTCAAAACAATCTCATGGACAACAAGCAATCCGGCTTTAAGAAAGGCCACTCAACTGAGACTGCCCTGCTCTCGGTCGTGGAGGATCTCAGACTGGCTAAAGCAGACTCTAAATCATCAGTCCTCATTTTGCTGGACTTGTCAGCTGCTTTTGACACTGTCAACCACCAGATCCTGCTATCTACGCTTGAGTCACTGGGCGTCGCGGGCACTGTTATACAATGGTTCAGATCTTACCTCTCTGACAGGTCATTCAGGGTGTCTTGGAGGGGAGAGGTGTCCAACCTACAGCATCTAAACACTGGGGTACCTCAAGGCTCTGTTCTTGGGCCACTTCTCTTCTCCATCTACACATCATCTCTAGGACCAGTCATCCAGAGACATGGATTCTCCTACCACTGCTATGCTGATGATACCCAGCTATACCTCTCTTTTCATCCTGATGATCCCTCGGTTCCAGAACGTATCTCAGCCTGCCTGTTGGATATTTCACACTGGATGAAAGATCATCATCTTCAGCTGAACCTTGCAAAAACGGAAATGCTTGTAGTTTCTGCCAACCCGACTCTACACCATAACTTTTCAATCCAGATGGATGGGGCAACCATTACTGCATCCAAAATGGTGAAAAGCCTTGGAGTAACGATTGATGACCAACTAAACTTCTCTGACCACATTTCTAGAACTGCTCGATCGTGCAGATTTGCACTCTATAACATCAGAAAGATCCGACCCTTCTTATCTGAACATGCAGCTCAACTCCTTGTTCAAGCTCTTGTTCTCTCCAAACTGGATTACTGCAACTCTCTACTAGCTGGGCTTCCAGCTAACTCTATCAAGCCTCTTCAACTGCTCCAGAATGCAGCAGCACGAGTTGTCTTCAATGAACCTAAACGAGCACATGTCACTCCGCTGCTAGTCCGTTTGCACTGGCTGCCAGTTGCTGCTCGCATCAAATTCAAAACTCTGATGTTTGCCTACAAAGTGACTTCTGGCCTAGCACCTTCTTATCTGCTCTCACTTCTGCAGATCTATGTGCCCTCCAGAAACTTGCGTTCTGTGAATGAACGTCGCCTCGTGGTTCCATCCCAAAGAGGGAAAAAATCACTTTCGCGAACGCTCACGCTCAATCTGCCCAGTTGGTGGAATGAACTCCCTAACTGCATCAGAACAGCAGAGTCACTCGCTATTTTCAAGAAACGACTAAAAACTCAACTATTTAGTCTCCACTTCACTTCCTAATCTGCAATTGCCTATTTGAATATCACACTAACTGTACAAAAAAAAAAAAACTACTAACACTTCCCTTCTTAGACTTTACAGACCTGAAACTTGCCTTTAGTACTTATTCATTGTTGCTCTTAGTTGTGTAAATTGCTTCCTTGTCCTCATTTGTAAGTCGCTTTGGATAAAAGCGTCTGCTAAATGACTAAATGTAAATGTAAGTTGCAATGATCTTTCTTCCTT